GCCTCGCCGGGGAGGACGGCGGCTGCTCCCTGCCCCCCGGAGCAGAGCTCCCCCCGGCAGCACCCAGCCCCCCTCCCGTGGGCTGCCGGCACCTTCCAGCCAGCCCCGCATGAGGCTCTCTGGAGCAAGGGACAGCAGCCGACGCCCTTCTTGGCTCCCCAATGCGAGTGCCCATGAAGTGCTGTCTCCATGGAGGATTTTAAAGCCTTTAATTCGATTTCCTCAGATAAGCAATTGTTGCAATTACTCTGATTAGGAACAATTAGGTAGCACAGCAGTGGAAATCCTGACAGAGACAATGCATCGAACACCAACCTGCAGCCCAAGCAGGCTCTGCTTGAGGAGGTTTCCTTCACTATTTGACTACCAACGAAAGCTACTGATGGAGAAATACTTCCAAGCTAATTAAGCCCTAAATGCTGTAGGAATTCAGCATTAAGCAGATGGCATTATTAGGGCTATATCTGCTTTCGCATATCCTCCAGATTAGATTTTAGAGGCATTTTCTTTCTATACTACATGTATTATTGAGCATTTAAATAGGTAGGAAAAAAATAATTTAATAAAGTGCTGAGGGAGGGGAGAGAAAATGAGGGCAGAAGCTCCTGGAGCAGTGGTCTCAAGCAAAGCCTCGGCGCTTTAAAACTGGCTCAAGCAAGAATCGCCTCTTCTCCTATCTACTGGCAGGATTTTGGATATCTTGTCAGCACCCTTGACATGAACAGCTGGAGATGACAGATCAATGGTTCAATACTCTCAGCAGCGTGTCACCAACGTGACAGCAAATGTTATTCTAATGAAGCTGTAATCATAGTCAAATTACGCGGTTCGATTCTCAGCAAGGGGAGGGTGCAGGGGAAGAGATGAAGAGGGGATGACAGGAGCAGAGGTCAGAGTTCAGGAACTAAAGGTTACTTTGCTTACCTCAAGCACTTGCTGGAGGCTTGGCTGTCCATCCACCATGCCTTGAATAATCCCAGTCAGCTGAAACGAGAGACAAACAGAAAGCAGGCGTCAAAGCAGCACTCAAAAGATCATTAGAGAGGTCTCCTCTCCTGTCCATCTCACTGCAACCAAAACATCCTTCTGTGACCCACATGGACATTACTGAGGAGCCAGCTACAGCACAGTGACCCTGGCAGCTCCCTAGCCATAGGCAAGGGCACAGCTTCATCCAACACAGGAAAGCAGGGGGGCTCCAACCCACAGCATAGATCTACAAGCTCTCAGCAGGGCAGGATCCACCTGGAGAACAGTGGTGCCTTCTGCTCATGTACCAGCATGACACCCAAAATGCTGCCCTTTCTCAACATGCATTTCACCAGTTTTGATGTTGCCTTGCACAGGCAGTGGTAACTACTGGGATCTCTGATAATTTCTCTGCTATTGTGGTGACATCAAAACCACAGTGTTAGACGAACAGAACAGACCACTATTGGTAAGTGAGACCCAGCACAGACCCAGTGATCCTCCCCTGTGCTGAGCACTCAGCATCCACTCTTTTCCACAGTCCACCACAGCATCCCTCTGCATTTCAAAATTATATTTAAAACTACTGTATAATATCTGAAGAAAACCACCTTATTCCAGAACCCTGGTGTACTCTCTTTTTCAGGATGTTCCTTAGGAGCAGGTCCCACCAAGAGCTAGCCCTACTGACTGAACCCGGTCTCCTTTGCTGTTTAAAGCTAGACACACACATAAAAAGATGCAGTCTCATGGGCCTCTGCCTGTTTCTGCCCAGGACAGCTTGAGGCACATGGAAAATAGATAATTTTTCTGTCTGCCTTCCATCTGACAAAACCGTCTTTTAACATATTGAATATCGGAGGTCAGTAGCTTGCCATCAATGCACCCAAGTAATTAAAAAAATCATTATTAAAACAAGTGCACACAACAGGATTTCACTTCATATGGCACTTTCCTGAAGCTACACATCTCACACGTTTTCATAAAACAAAGGTCAAAGATAGCCTAGGAGCATGCCTTGCTGCCTGTGCATGCATCCAAGCCTCCAGAAGCCATAGTGTCCACTTGAGAGGTGCTGACAGCCCCCCACCACCCAGGAGCAACTCTTCCATACAGACTATCTCAACCTACTTGTAAAACATCAGCCCTCTCACAAAACAGAGGGCTCTGCTTTATTAAATGTGTGGCAACTGAAAGAAGCTCAATAGTTTCTACCTCTCTGTTTCTTTGGTTGCTTGGCTTACAGCACTGAACTCGGAGGAAGAAAAAAAAAAGATTAAACTCCAATTAAACTGTAATTACATTTAATGAATACCAAATACCTGACTCACTGAATAAACTGTAAGTGGAAAGATTATTTTCTCATAGTGACTTCCATGGAATGGTAATATATACCTTTTAGGGAAAGTATTTTAATTTTGAGAATGCAGAGTTCCTCTAGCTGGGTTTCTCAAGTTCATCAAGCCATTATGAGGTGGAATTTTAAGGAAGTGGAGGGACACACTCTTTTATATTCCAGAAACTGTTTTTATATTAATCTGTATTTTAATTGTGTAACAGCTGCTACCTACAGACTTCTCATGCTCTGAGAGTCGAATAGATTTGAGAGATCAACACATGGCTCTTTAGAGCATGTTTTTTTGGGCTTTTTTGCTTGTCTTGCCATCTTCCTCTCTGTACATTCGCATGGCAGAGGTGGACAGCTCATCTACTGCAAAGTGCTGGCTCTGCCTCTCAGAGACCAGCTCAAATCAAACTTCTGGAAATGGCTGAATGATGAATTTTTAGGAAAGGATCATAGAATCATAGAATGTTTTGGGTTGGAAAGGAGCTTTAAAGGCCATCTACTCCAGCCCCTCTGCAGTGAGCAGGGCCATCTTCAACTACACCATATTACTCAGAGACCTATCCAACCTGACCATGAATGTTTCCAGGGATGAGGCATCAACTGCCTCTCTGGGCAACCTGTGCCACTGCCTCACCACCCTCATTGTAAAATATCTCTCCCCTATATCTAGTCTAAGTGTACTCTTGTTTAGTTTAAAACCATTACTCCTGTCACAACAGGCCCTGCTAAAAAGGCTGTCCTCATCTTTCTTATAGGGCCCCCTTTAAGTGCTGAAATGCCACAGTAAGGTCTCTCCAAAGTCCTTTCTTCCCCAGCCTGAACAACACCAACTCTCTCAGCTTTTCTTCAGAGGAGAGGTGCTCCAGCACTCTGATCACCTGGTGGCCTTCCTCTGCCCCAGAGACCCATGGGTCTGTGGCATGTCTATCTGTGGTCTGTCTCTTTCGATGACAGGCAATCTTCTCGCATCTCACCCAGGACTGCTGCAACCAGCTTCTCTCACCCTGAGCACCTTCAGGACTGCATCTGCTCAGCACCACAGCCCTGATGGCCAGGGGAGGACAGGGTGAAATGGCCTGGAATACAAAGGGATGTATCTGCTTCATGGATACATTTCATTACAGGTCAGAGTGTTCAAAAGGGACCAGATTTCTTATCTCTCACCCTTTCTGATCCTTTCTGTTATCAGATACATCCATCTGTAACATCCAGCCTAATGCATTGAGTCTCTGCAACATTACCTAGTCTTGCTGCTTTGATAAAGTATAAAAACATAAAACTGCACAATTGTAAATTTCACTGGCAATCCCAAGAAGCACATGGTACTTCGGAACATAAACAAGCTGGAAGACATTTATCTTGTTGTACTTTTATTGTCTGTTCCTTCAGGAAAAAAAAAAATCAATAAAAATTAATCATAAAAAGAGAGCAAGGTACCATGAAAAAGCCTGTTACAAGCACCTTCTGTGTAGAGGGAACCTTTCTCTTAAGCTCCTGGCATGAACTTTCTTGAGCATCAGACAAACCACTTGCATCTTCCAAAGGGCATTGTGAGCTTTATATACCTAACAATAGCTTTTAACCACTTGCAAGCACTTTCCACCTTGTCTGTCTAAATGTTCAGCACATCCCTCATCATAACCAAGCCTCATGACCTGTTGTTTTACAGAAGCAGGTCAAGAGAAAGGGTGCAAGAAGAGGGCTACAGAGTGAGCCAGCACTGGAAGACATACTCCTGCCTATTGGTGTGGGGAGTTGGAGGAACCACCTGTAGCCAGGGGAGAGCACAGACACGCCAAAATCTAAGCATATGCTTATTGAGGGTAACCACTAGCTCTCCACCTCTGCAGGCACCCTTCCCATGCTGTGCTGTCTTCAAGAAGGGAGAGGGATGTGAAAGGTACTCCAGACTGAGGAGTAACATGAAGCAACCCTGATGATCCTCCCCCATACAGTCTATATCAAGCAGTCCTACTGCTTTCTGTGAAAGGCAGCGAGCAGAGGGGAGAGGAGAAAGCAGCAGCCCAGCAGAGAGGCTACTGTGTAATGTCAACACCACTGCTTTTCCTACAGAGTTTATCTGGGAAACTATCATATTTCTACTCCAAGACAGTTTGCTGATTGCCTAAGCACTTGTCTCTGGTGTACTATCTGATAATCAGGCCTGGTCTTTCTTTGTAGACAAAGAGGCCAATAAATCTCACCCTTTGTAAGTAGAGGTGCCTAGACAAAGCCCTTTAGTGGCATTTAGCAAAATGGGTATTTTTTGAGAAAGCACAGAACAGCTGAAAGTCGATGGCAAGCGCTGGAGCCGCACGAGCAGCGGCTCCGCAGGAGCTGGACGCCGAGCACGGCCGGCTACGTCCCCAGGCTCTCAGGGAACCTGCACCCGTGGCACGGGGCCGACCCCTGCGCCTGCCTGCCACAAGTCACCACCCCCACAGGACCCTACGCAGCCACTACAGCCTCCACAAAAAAACAGCTGCCAATACAAAAGGCTATTTTTGCACTGCATGGGTGCAGCAAGGGGCTGGACAGCAGCCAACGGCTTCCAGGTTTGGATTAAAACCTGCTCCCTGACCCACACTGTTAATAACAGCACTTGCCAAACCTGGCAAGGTGGACCATTCTGTGCCACTAATACACAAGGGCGGGGGTTCTGCGATCATTTTGCCTGCCGGCTTCAGCACTGTCCATTTTTATCCAACTCTGGACACAAGACACCAGACCAAGGTCAGTGGCAGAGCCTGCAGCAGACCTCTGTAGCGGGGACATCCATTCCTGTCCTGAAGACTCCTGCAAGCACATGGCTGGTGCACATGCACACATGTTTTCACTTGCTTGAGGGCACCATGCAGGGGGCACAAATCTGCAGAGATACTAACAGCTGGCTCCAGGCCCCCCACGAGCAAGAGAAGACAGAAACCAGCACCATAGTGCCGGAGCATTAGATGGGCTGAATGTCTTGGTCATGAGCTTGACATGCAGAGAACCTCTCAATGCCTTAAGGCTGCAGCAGGCCAGAGGCCACCTCTGTTCAGCTCAGACAGCCACAGCCAAGCAAGTCATGCAGACTCTTATGCAAGAGCAGAGCTGCAACCCTCAGCAGAAGCAGGAAGGACCCAACAAAGGAATTTCCAGGAAAAGTAATTTTGGTGGGCGTTAATGAGTTGGACAACTTCTCTCTAGAATATAGATGACCCAAGAGAGGAATTTCCAGAAAAAGGAATTTTGGTGGGAGTCAACGAGTTGGACAGCTTCTCTCTAAAACATAGATGACAGGTAAAATGGATATTTTGGGCTCTATGCTAGAAGATGACATTGCTTTTAGCAAAGATCAGGTGCAAGCTGTGAGATTTAGCACATTTGTACAAGCATATGTCCAGCAAGTCTCATGGGGATAAAGAGAGCCAAAGTAGTTGTCCAGCCTTCTAGCATAAAGGTTGCAAAATTATTTCCATTATAAACCTCTGTTTTCACACATTTATAGCTTTCTGAAAGCCCTTCTCCTGGGAATAATGTTTTCTGTGATTAGGTGTGGGGTTTTTTTAAGTTTAAATAAAATACCTTCAGATGGCTTCTAGTTGCAAGAGAATTAAAAAAAAAAAAAGTATTTGTTTTTACAATGTGGAAATATGGAAGGGGCTGGCTGGTCCTGGAGGGGACTCCACCTAACACAGAGGAGTCATTTTTCATCAAGTTAGTACACACATGACAAGAACTTCAAGGGCTTAAACCTGCAGCCATGGAGGCTGGAGAAAACACATCACATTGTTGTTGATGCCAGATGAGATATGGACAGAATGAAGAGCTTGGATACCCCAATTCCCACAGTCAGTACTTCAGTCACTGAGCTGGCTGACATTTAACCAGCACAGTGACAGGAAAAAAAAAAAAAAAAAAAAGAACAAAGCAAAAAAGAACTTGAACTTTCTTTTGATGGTTACAGCAGGGAGGAAGAACGCACTTGCAGGAACCATTAACTTTGTGTTGAATGAAAAACAAACAAACAAAAATCCAACCCCTTCTCCCCTAATGCTTTGAAGCCTCAGGGATCACACCTACCACCTTCATCCTCTCATCTGTATCTGGGAAAAGGTGGCCACAGCTCGACAGCAGCTGTCCTCAGCAATGAGAGTAACCATGTAACACGTAACAAGAGGCCACTTCTCCAGCAATCATTTCAAGTGCCCCACAAGTACAACATCGAAAAGAAAGTCTTAAAAACACAGACATGGGTTATCCTGCCACTCTGAAGGACTCATCAAATCCCAACAGGCAGGCCTACAGGAGAGTCATTTACAGCCTCCGAACCATGCAGCCAAACGATACGTTATTCCCTCAGACCAGCTTCTTTTGACCTTTCCCACCAAAAAGCAGCACAGCAAAATCACAAAGGGCTCACAAAGAGGCTACAGGATTTTGAGCATCAGCTAACATGAGTGATTTTATTTTGTGGCCACCCAGTTAGACACTCACTAGTCGTATATACAGATACTTTAGTTAGCAGATCATAGCTAGAGTTATTTATGAATCGAAACTGAAGTCTCTGCATGGTACTGCAAAAAAATGATTCCCCTTGTCCTTAACTTGAGGCTGGCATGACATGCAGCCTTGCAGCTGCACCATGAGGAAGCGACCCCAACCCCTGGGTGCAATGGAAACCTGCTTCCCAGGGAGACTCTTGGAGCACCAGGGAACCTTTGCACTTTACCTCTGTACAGAAGGGCGTAAGCTGGGGATGCACCACAGGCTGAACATACATGTGAAAGGTGGATTCGATCTCCATCGTCCTGCCATTCAGCTTCAGGATAGGGAATTCGATGATTTCCTGAATAGGGCAAAAAGAAAAGCAGCTGTTCATTCAAAACAAAACACAAAGCTGGAAATGATCCTGCCTAGCAAGCTGTCTGTCAAAAGAAGTCCCTGACAGTCCCAAACAAAACCGAGCCCAACACAAAGCTCTGCAATACAAGTGGGAAGGTGGCGCAGAGCAGAAGGAGCACAGAGTGGGACAGTGCTGGTGCCCATGGTACCCATCACTGCCTAACCTTAGCCTAAGGAAGATGCTCTAGCACCACTCTCACGTGCTACCCAGACAACAAGGAGATGTGCTTGCAATGGGCTCACGCCTGTTCAGCAAGGACATCGCAGAGGCTGTGCCCTCCCCAAGACCAGTCCCATCCTCCCCACTTTGCCATCTCTGTTGGAGGACACCACCAGACAGACAACAGGAGCTAGCGCATGAAGCATCTCCTTCCCAAGAGAGACTGAGGAGCGCTGCTCTCCTCCAACTGAGTGAGGAGATGAGCTGGAACCTCCCCCCAGCAAATGCATCCCTATGGGATACAGCACAGTAGCAAGCCCTGATTCATTTTCATCTTTGTAGCAAATTTATGCTGATAGGGAAATAAAATCGTTCCTTCATCAGAAGAATGTTCAATTATTTGAATAATCAGCAATCAAAAATTTACATGGACCTGTTAATAAAAAGTTTAAACAAATCCAGTTGCAATGGATTTCCCAATTATTAAAAAATATACATGAAATTAAAAAAGCCGACCACTGAATAAAAGCGATAAAATCCTTTGTGTTCACCCCCCTCCTTTTCCACTCCCTTTCCTCCTTCCAGTTTAATGTAAGAGAAGTGACAATTTGTTTGGTGCCTTTAAAGAATAATTTGTCTATGTTATTTAATAGAGATGCATGGCACCAAGGTTCTGGAGTGCAAATGAGCCTGCTGAGTGATATCCATGCAACAAGCCTCTCAAATCACTTCTGGAGAGAAACAGAGAGAGGGAGAGAGAATAAAAAAAATATTGCTTTTTAATATTCAAAAACAGTTTGCAAAATTTAATCAAAGCAGAGCAAAAGCTAACATTTTTACCACTTTGACATTTTTATTAGCGCTTTCATAAATTTTTAAAACATGAATGGAATTAGTTTAACAACAAAAAAAAACACAACTGCCTGAAAACATCTGGAAGAGACAAATAAGAAATAATAAAAAATAAAAAAAATCCAACTCCTGTGAGTAAAATTAGCATGTGGCAAATGCAGCCGCTGCAGAGGAACTAACACAGTTTTTGGACCCTGGATGCAACCCACATGACCTGCAGGCGGAAATCATCGTGTGGTCACACATATGAGCTGATGACATCACCACCCCAGCAGGCAGAGGGAGGGCAAGAAGCTGGGTGGGTAAATGGAAACAACAAATAATTTAAATAGCCAGGAGAAACACCCTATTTCCAGGGTGGACAGAACCCGTGGCTGCAGCAGAGCAGCTCCCTGGAGCAGCAGGCACGGAGCCCAGACGAGGGCACGTGGGGAGCACGTGCCACTGAGATTGAAAGTTAAAAAAAAAAAAAATTAAAATAAAATAAAGTGTTAACAGCACTGAAGTGCCCAGGTGTAGGCACTGTGCAGTCAAGCTGCAGAGGACGCAAGGCTTAACCGTTTCCCCACGGCTGGCTATACCACATGCTGCACATGCCATGGAGTCTAAGGCAGAGCAGAGGGTTGGGCACATCCTTCCCTATGGCCATACCATCCACCAAGAGCCACCAAGTTTCCCCAGGAAAGAGACAAAACTCAAGCCATGGGCTGGAAACGGAGAAGGACACAGAGGCAGAATACCTGAACAACATTCAGATTGCCTGTTGTGGTACATCCAAACTCACCAGTTTCAGTCACCCGAAAGGACCCATGGAAACATGACAAACTCAACCTGAGGAAGAAATGCTGGACACAGCTGATCCTCCCTTCGAATGAGCCACCACAGATCAGCTCTGAAAGCAGCAAATTTCTGTTCAGAATGAAAACAGACTGCAAATTTTGAGCCAGTGGACAGGGCGCTGCAACGGAGCCAGGCGTAACCTCGGGATAACACCACCTCATCCTTCAAACTGGGCTGGGGCTGCTCACTGCCCCTTAGGTCTGCATCCCACCCCGGGGTTGACCATGGAAGCAGGCAAGCCCATGGCAGGGCAAGACAAGCGGTCCCCTCCCAGAGAGCGACACATACCAGCTGGATTTCACAGCAGGGCTGCACCACAGCACCGAGATCGGTCCTAAGGGACCGGAAACATCCTTAGGGGCCATCAAGTGGCTGGATGCAAAGCAAGAGTGAAAGACAGCCCTGCTGCTGATCTGATAAACAAAGGCGTTGCTTGCCTTCCAGAACCAAAGGCCAAAAGCACTTCCAGGAGGGTCGGATTAAGACAGACAGAGGAAATAGAAAGCCGCACTAAAAAAATGTGGAAAATGTAACAATATCCAGAATTACTACAGGTCTGCGGGAAGCATGCGGCCAGGAGCAGGGGTGGAACCCCAGGAGTAACTCAAGTGTCTTGGGAGAAATGACAGCCACTCTTCTGGGCTTATTTGGTCGCTTTTTGAAGCAAGTGGTAAAGGCCCTTTCCCAAAAGGCTGTTTATCTGCACGTCTCCTGTAGTGGAGATTTTTCCAGTCTCTGGCAGTGTTTGCTCCACTGGTATCTAAGGCAACAGATACCAGCCCCATGAAATCAGCCCCACTCCTCACTAACGATGTTAGCCAGTCCTGCAATGAAATTTAACCTGTGACACTGCTGTACTTTTCATTTAAACTTTCATTTGGAGAGAAGCAGTGTTTGGAGACCCTGCAGTTTGTCCTGCTAATAAAGACAAGTGTTGGGACCTTTAAAGGTGCCATTCATCTTTTGCCTTTATTAAATTCAATTTTCTTAAGCCCATGATACATCATGAAATTAAGAGTTGACATTCCTGCAGAAACAAAAATATCTATCAAACATAAACAGAAAGGGGGGGAAGAGGCCTCTATTACCAAGAATTTATGGCTTAAAGTTGATCTGTTTCCACTTTTTTTTTTTTTTTTTTTTTTTTTTTTTACAAGCATATGGTTTGTTTTAGATATCCAAAATGTTATTACAGATCTAGAATTTCATTAGTAATTACTATGAAATGGTGAGCACTTAGGCACACACACACAAGCCCCCAACAGACCATGACGCAGGAAGGCAGCCGGGCGCTCTCTCACATTTCACAGCAGCCCAGTGAACTCAACGTGCTCAACTCCTTCTCCACCATCAAGGACTTTTGCTGCTTCTTTCCAAGTGAGAAAGGTGGAGAAGAGCAGCACAAGGGAATTAAAAGGAGAACTTCACTGCCACTTCCTTTCTTTTGTCAGAATCTTATTTTACCTTGAGATCCTCACCCATTTCTACTTGCAACACTCAGTACATGTTCCAACTTCAGCAGCAATTTCTGCCAGAAGAATTTAGGGCTTTTAAGTCTCTTTCCTCCCCCCCCCCCCTTTTTTTTTTCCTTACAGCACAACCAGAAGTTATAGATGTGCTGAAATAAAGCTGAGGGCGTCCAAAGGCTGCAAATAGCCACAAGCTACCAGAAGAACAAATGTACCCATTTGAATTTTGCGAGCACTACAATTAGGTATTTTATTCAGCGCTGCAAAGTAACTTGAAAGGAAATCCAGGATTGAAACCACCAGCAGTAAATAAGCAGCTTTTTATTTTCCTTTCATTGTCATGAAAAGTTCAGCATGTTTTCTGTTGAGAAATTCTGCACGCGGCTCCCAATTACAGGCATTTGCATTTATATTGTTGGAACACAGAGCTTCTAAAATCAATATTAACACGCTTAAAGAAAAAGACATTGGCACCCTGTCCCTCCCCTCAGCTGCGCCCCCAAACACAGTAACAATAGGAGCCTACAGAGCCCGGGGATTGTACATACATATCCCTTACCAGGTCCACTCTCTTTACAACAGACTCGCGTTTTTGATTTCACGATGCTTCAAGCAAGTCTCGGTGACAACTTGCTCAAAATTTTTGCCCTTAAATAAAACAATGTTCCCAAAAAGACGGAGGTCCCAGGTGGAAGCCTCCCATACGACCTGGCTGTCCCAGGCCAGTGGGCTGAGCAGCAGCAGGAGGCTGCAAGGTAACTGTGGAACGGCTATAGGGACTTCCTTTTACGGGGGATTTGAAAAATGCATAAGGGCATGTGAAAGCACTGCTATAAACCCAGCCTTTCCTTACCCAATCATCCTAAATGAAACTCCCTGCCCTTTAACACCAGAGTAGGGATGCACAAATTCAGCTGTCTTGATCTTGTTGCTAATAAAAGAAACGAACAAGCACACTACTCTCTAAGTAATTTCCTGTAACAGACAGAGCTTTGGAGTCCAGAGAAGAAAGCATCTGAAGTTACACTAATTCCCACAGAGGAATCTTCTTGCTTATCTTTTTGGATCTGGGGAGCACTAACATCATTAGACACAAAGAACACAGTGCCCAGCAAGAACTTCCTGGCTCTCAAAACCTTTTAATCCAGACGCTCACATACCAAGTGGACAGAGCACACTTCAGGACACGGAGTTATGTATTTGATGAAGACCACGTGGCCTATTCAGTTCAAAAACTACCAGTGAATAATTTATCCTTTACTCCCACCCCCATGTGAAGAAGTTTAATAAACACAAGAATAAAAGATGCCCATAAAAATCAGAGCTGACTGTTCAAAATGCAATAAAACCAAGCAGAGGCCGTTGAGAGAAAGGGATTATTTCTGATAAGGAAAAGCATAAAACTTCCTACCAAAAGACCCCTTTACACCTTCAAGAAAGGTAAGGACAGAAGAGGGAAGGGAGTCTGTGGAGGGACACAGCACCAGCTCATTTTGTTCTGGGATGCTTCCCCCCCACACCTCTTTAGAGAAAAAAAGTCAGTTTATGCACAAGGAGCTTATTTCTTAAACAAACACTCGTGTTTTTGATTTACACCACGGGCTGCTCCTAAATAATTTATGG